CTTCCTGTCCTTATTTGTGGGGTTTGCGGCCTCTTCGTTCTCCGGAGCCGGGAGTGAAATCAAAACTAGGACTTGGCTATGGGGCGTGCGTTTCAGCCCGGTTCCTGTCGTCGGAAGGTGGGGAAGGAGGCAGGGTCGGGCGACTCCAGGGAGGACTGAGCACGGGAACGTTGTCCAGACGCAGACCCGGTCCGATCGGCGGGGCGGGCGCACTGGGGTCTGCTGTCACCCAGTCGCTCGCCATGGGCCCGCGAGCCTCGCACGTTTCAGGGAATTAGGGGCCTGTTTTAGGCATCCTCCTCGGGTTCCTGGGGTCCAGCAGGCTCAGCATCGCGGCTGGTGCTTCTTAACCGAAGGGTTAACAGGACAGCGAATGGAAGAGAGTGGCGTCACATTGTCCAAGCCGCTGGCCACCCTAAATGTAATAGCCTCCAGCTCGTGGAGGCGGGGTCAGGTCCGGGGGCCATTCCTGAACCCTGCAAGTCACCAAGGGCCAGAGGAACCCGCTGCCTATGTTCCCTGCGCACTGGCTTATTTTTTTTAGGGAAGGCAGCCCTTAGTTGACCTCGCAGATTGCAAGGACTTTGTCACCTTACAATCCCTTATTTTTTTTACTTTTTATGCCTACAGCACCTGGTCTTCCTAGGTAGTCACCCATCCAAGTACTAACCAGGCCTGACCCTGCTTAGCTTCTGAGATCAGACTGGATCAGGCTTGTCCAGAGTGGCATGGCCATAGACCTGGCATTTCTGCTAAAGCACTGCCATCTGGTGGCGACATCTTGCTTCTGTCCTATTTTTACTTCCAAACTTTTTTTTCTGTTCAAAATTCCACAAAGAAGCGCGTTTGAATCTAAAGCAGTTGGGTCTTCTTTAGGAGAAAGGTAAGATTTATATCTAGTAGATCTGACCGAATATTAAGTTGCGAGTTCTTCACAGTGCAAAATACATGAAGAGACAGTACAGATTGGCTTTGTTCGTTAAGTTTCTTGCAATTTGGGTCAGGCATTTCTGGTCAATTCCACTTTTTAAATCACTGTACCTATTCAAATCTGGCCTCCAGGTCACATCTGTTCTTGGCTTAGGCTTCTCATTCACAGACGTTGAGTCCAAACACCAAAAGCTCCACAAACTGCTGCCAGAGTTTCTGCAGTCAATTCCAGAGGTAATTTATAATAATGTGCTAGGATATTTAACAGGTTTTCTAGGACAAACCTGTTGCTTTTAGAATTAGAGAGGGTACCCGGTGTTGTTATACTATTAATTAGTTACCTATTAAGGGTAAAACCCAGGAACACATATAGTGTGGGTTAATGCAAACCCAGAGAAAAGGCCTAGGACAAATTTTGTATTTCTTATTTAAATTTAAGAAGTTATAAAAACACAATTAAAGCCTTCTCCAATTAGGAAATGAATACATATTTTTATGAAAAAAAAAAAAAAAGTGTTTCCTAGTGAGATGATTTAGATATCAGAAATTTTTACTTACTAAGAAGTTGAGTTTACAAGGTAATCATACTAATGAAGAAAAGCATTAGAATGCCTTTGACATTTTGGGATTAAGCTTGGAAAAGATGCTAGGCATACAGTTTTATAATGTATTAATCATTAATAATCATTTTTAGATTTAAGGATTTTCTTCCTTTTTTCCAGAAAAAGAGAAGTCATAGATAAGCCAATATGGATTTGCTGTGACATTTGAGGGTACATTAAAGACTTTCGAAAGAATAAAATGTCTTAATCCATGTAAAATGGACAGAAGGAAAAGGACTAGAAGAAATATGCTACTGTTAACAATCTTGATTAACATTGTTCCTGGTAAAGTTACAGATGATTATTATTAGACATAATTATGATAGGTAGTTGATCAGTTAATTTAAATTGTTAGAGGATCACAAGAAAAATATGCACATACCTTAAATCCTTAAAACTTTTTTTAAATAAAAATAAAACTATTTAAAGTTTAATATTTGTGACAGATATTCCCTGTCATTTCATAAATGTCTCCACTTACTGCCCCTTCTCTAACTCTATTAATAATTTATTCAAGATAAATAGAGTTGTTCTTAAACATTTCTCATTGGAGAGATGTTTCAAGTAATAAATTGAGCCTCCTTGAGCATCCCAGTTGGAACCTTTCGACTCCATCGTTTACAAGGACATTCTTATGTTGAGCACAGTTGAGGTGTACATGTGGACTTTCTAAACACATCAGTCTTTAGAAATTCAAGAGGCTCACATGTGCTTAAAATGTGCTTAAATTGCTTAGTATTTAATATTTAAAATGTGCTCTAGTATTGTTAAGCACTATCAGGATTAGAAAGTGGATTAGAAAGTCAAATTTTTTTCTTCTCTTTCATAATGTGGAGTGACCATAACTCAGTTCTAATGTGGGATCATTTTGGGGTGCCTCATTAGGTGCAAGATACAGTTCTCCAAA